AGCATATCTTTCGAATATATGCTGAATAACAGTATACATTGCTCGAATTATGTGCTGAAAAAAGGTAATATGCATCAATACCTAGACGCGTTTTTGTTCAACTTTTGGCTCTGATATGCTCATTGAACATTGTATAAATATCAACGTTGTCTAACTTGATGCTTGTATAGCTGAAGACTTGCACCAAAATCGACACTTATTCGGCTTTTTGTATTTGCCTGAATAACTTGCATGCAATACATAATACATTTTAAATGTATAACCCAATAATTTTTAAAGTCTGTAGTTTTAAATAGCGTCAAAATATTTGAAATTCGTCAATAAATGGCAGGGCTATGATTTTTCAAACATAAGGTGATCCAAGAGACGTTTTTTAGTGGAACTGACAGCAATAAATCTCGAGTGTGTCAAAAATCAGAAATTCATATGAGAATAAACTGCCAGTTCTACCAACAATCAATACGAAACTAACGATTTTAAATTGGCTCACTACTTGACTAGCCTATTGGTCCCAAGAAAATCGACTAACGTACCCCATTCTAGTATAAATTCCAGTACTACACTATGTTCGTTTTGATTCGCTATAATAGTTTGACAGATAAAATGAGGGGTTAGTGGATTTTCCTATGTTTCGAGGGGTGAATCGATTAGCTTGGGACCGAAGAGAGTACCAGAGATGAGCCAAAAAGTTGAGCACGTTTCTTCGGGACCGAGGGGGGCGACACATCTAAATCTCAATTCTAGATGCTCAACAAATCTCACTCCAGCGAATCAAACTTCGAAAAATATTTTTTCATTTCTCGCATCTACTTGCATCGCGCTGCAAAAGTTGACCCATCGAGTGAAGCAGCTAGTAAAGCAGTGCATTTTGAAAGACGTCCATACTTTTACTTAGGCTGTGAACCATTTGCCGAGTTAAATTCAACTCGTGGTTAAAAGTGACATTTCGAAAGTTATTTCTTATGTTCGAAAATCCCCGTGCTGTCGATCGACCGGTTTTCGAGCCACAGTTGTCAAAATTTAACTTCTTGTCTGTCAGAAGTAACCACGCTCGGATAGCAGGGTTAATCGATAACTTTCCATCTGTCAAATTTTAACCAAAAGTTAAAAAAATCCGCCAAATGGTTCAGAGCCTTAGGCTGTGAACCATTTGCCGAGTTAAATTTAACTCGTGGTTAAAAGTGACATTTCGAAAGTTATTTTCTATGTTCGAAAATCCCCGTGCTGTCGATCGACCGGTTTTCGAGCCACGGTTGTCAAAATTTAACTTCTTGTCTGTCAGAAATAACCATGCTCGGATAGCAGGGTTAATCGATAACTTTTCATCTGTCAAATTTTAACCAAAAGTTAAAATAATCCACCAAATGGTTCAGAGCCTTAGAGGACTTTAGTTAGCAGATGTCGTTTTCCTTGTTCCTGCACTCAAAAAATTCCACACGTCTGATCGAAGTGTTCTCCATGTGTTCTACACGTTGATTTCTAGTGTTTCAAACTTTTCAATGTTGATAATCTTTCTCTATCAATTCAAGTGTATGAAGAATGCTACTGTCTAGACTACTGTTCAAAATAGTTGGATTTGATGTGTTTCGCAGTGAGATCGAACAAAGAAAACGGCAGCAGCACACCCCAACAGTCCAGGATCAAATCCCAAATCAAACATATTAAAAAAAGGCATGTGTAAGCTCTGCTCTCTGGCAGCTTTGTATACATATTAGTCGATTCAATTTTGGAGTCCGAGTTCTTGTTAAAATTCTCTTAGAGTTCTTCTCAAAACTCCCTTCGATTTTTTTTCTGAACTACCTCTTGAATTTATTCAGAAATCTTCTCAAAATTCCAATGGAATCTTCATCAAATTTTCTCTTAAAAGTTCTTGAAGTATTTTATCTTGAAAATATAGTCCAGTCTAGGGGTCTCGAAATTTTCTCTAGGTCCAGAATCTAATTTTTTCCCGGTTTTTGTCGAAATTGGGTTGTCTAACTCTAAATCTATTCGTTGACAGCTTGCTCCCATACAAAGTTTCACCAAGGGACGCTAAGATCGTGATTTTTGCTAATGAAATCGTACTTATTTAAAATAGTTCCAGTGAGCCAAAATTGATGATATTTTGGTTTTCGGTACCATTTTTAATGCAGATACTCATCCCCACAAGGTAACTCTAAGACCAGATGGTCCCGTAGAAACGTGCTCAACTTTTTGGCTCAGCTCTGGTACTCTCTTCGGTCCTAATCTAATCGATGCACCTCTCGAAACATAGGAAAATCCACGAACCCCTAATTTTATCTCTTAAACTTTCAAATCAAATCAAACATAGTGTAGTACTAGAATTTAGACTAGAATGGGTTACCTTAATCAATGTACTTGGGACCGATAGGCTAGTCCAGTGTGAGCCATTTTAAAATAGCAGTTAGTTTCCACCGCCCGGTTGCTTATACTTTATCTTTCGAACGAATCTGTTTAAGGGACGGGGGTAGATCACCTTTTCGTGGTACGTCACGGGATGTAAGATCTACCACCGATTCCTAGTTAGTAATAAAAGGATCACATCTTAGTCCTTGTTACTTTTTATGCCTTGTAGATAATGACAAGACTCGGCTTTGTCCACCGAGGATGACCTTGAAACAAGGAAAAATTGAGTTAGCTAGTCTTCATCTATGTGATTCCTAATCTTCTATTCGTTGTTCTGATGCATGGTCATTATCGGTGTCATTGCTTATTTTTGTTGCTAAGGAATCCAATTTTGACTGACAAAGGGGCGCGCCTTTGGAGGGTGTTCCAACACTCCGAAGGGTATAAATAGCGGGACCTTTCAATTAGAGTTGGATCCTTGCGATGAATGAGAGAATGGCAACTGTAAAAAAGATCGAATACTTCATCATTTCTCAATAGTGATGGAATAATACGACATGCACTAAACTAAGAACACGAGATATACTACAATAGATCAAATTACTGGTCGCAGTGGTGTTATGTCCCGAACAAAGGAAAAAAAAGGGACGGAAGCCTTAGTATAGTCCTTTTTGTATAATCGTCTCTATCTAGCACACGGAGATGATTGGATTGATTTTTTTCCACTAATGTGTTTCCCGTTTGCTCGCGTTTATTCGATTTAGATGATGCAGTAGTGTGTACCAATTAAACGTCAAAAAGCTCTCCAGCGAGCTCTATAGAGCTTTTTGACGTTTAATCGGCGCACACTACTGCACCATTTAAATCAAACGAGTGCGCGCAAGAGGGAAACAGATTAGTGGGAAAACAAACCATGCATTCATCCATATGTGCTAGATAGAGAAATACGATTAAACGTCAAAAAGGTCTACACACTTAATTTTTTTCGCCGAGATTCCAACAGCCGATTATTTCTGCAATTTGTTTTGCTGAGATTCAGTGAAACATATGCCGAGACTCAGCTAACAAATTACATTTTGCTGAGATATCAGCTAACAAACAGAGATATCAGCAAAAGTAAATGCCGAGGTAATCGGCTGTTGGAGATTTTACCGAGCTAGATTAAGTGTGTAGATAATTCTTGGGGGAGGGGGCCTAGATAATTCTGGAGGGGGGGCTAGATAATTCTGGAGGGGGCCTGGCACCCCCATTAGCTAAGCCAATGCTGATGGCTCGCCCATGGTCACCCGTAACATATCCGGATGAAGCCAGTGAGATTCTGACTACCTTTAATGCTCGTGATTTGAGTGGGCGAATATGATCCTGGACCTTGAACCTGCTAATGCACAGCCTCAAGTATGTGAAGACATCATTTTTCATATTTGATGGGCGATCCATTTACTATGTCACTCTAAATCAAGGAAAAATTAACCCCCTCCCCCCTTTCGTGAAGTTTTTCCAATACCCAATGCATGGTTTGTCACACAATTATAGCAACAATCAATACGAAACTAACGATTTTAAATTGGCTCACCACTTTAGTAGCCTATTGGTCCCAAGCAAACGATTAACGTACCCATTCTAGTTGAAATTCTATTACTACACTATGTTTGTTTTGATTCGCTATGAAAGTTTGACAGATAACATCAGGGGTGTGTGGATTCATGCAGAACATGCAGGGGTGAGTGAAATAGCTTGGGACTGCTTGGGACCGTTGTTCTGGTACTGAGTGAGCCAAAAATAATAATGATTTTCTTCGGGACCCAGTGGTCTTAGAGTTACCTCTATGATTATAGTCCCCCTCTTCTTAGAGCGTGGCATAATATGTGCATCACCCCTAATCAATGGTTTAAAAATAGTTTAAAATATGCATTATTGTCCATTGCATTCAGCTTCTGGCACGCCGTCATGTTGCAGTTTCGATCAATATTTTGTCGATATATTCTGGACGGCTGAAAAACTGAGTTTGGCTCTGGATATCGGTTTGTTTTTCTCCCGCTCTCTAAATGCGGTAACGTCAAAAACCATCCGAGAGAGTGCAAGCTTGGTCCATGTCAAGGATTACAGGTATGGCACTGTACATTACTCATCCCTTTTACTCTTCCGATAAACTTGATTTCAGTGAATGTGACGTCGAACTTACATTCCCATTCGCAATCGAGTTGATGAAGGAAATAAACGAGATGGCTAATGAGTCACACACTGCCAGACCTGTTCCCCTTGACATGGTGATGCAGTGGGAGAGGAAAGCAAACGGAACCCACAATCTCGCTCAGTGCAGAGAGGAAGCGCACGGCAAGCTTCCACCACCTCTCAGCAGCTGTCACTCGAACTCGAAACTCTTCTTTTTGATTGCAATGTAGTGTTGTAAATTCCGCATCTCGGGTGGTGGCGTAGATAGAATATTATATTTTTACGGCAAATTTGTCACCGTCGTCGCGGTTCTCGTGCGGACAACTGTGCGGGTGGTGAGCCCAAGAAGTGCGCGTTGGCTGGCTATTATTGCATTGCAAATCCCTTTGCGTGCCACGGAGATTCAAACAGTAAAGTCGTAAAGCCTACCGGATCGGTGACTGACAGGCAGGAGGTTTGTTTTTCCGCATTCGGTTCTCCAGCGCGGATTGCGAGAAGCAGCAGGAAGGATTACCTGCCCAGTGCGGGACGAGTGAAATATTTGCATTTTAACCACAAAGAGGCAAAGCTGGTACCGCCCTTAACACCCTCCCTCCGGAAGTGCCCCTCTGTGACGGTCGGCGGAATTTGTCACCGCTCTCTGCCTGGTAGACATCAGAGACAAAATTTGTTTCGTGTCTATTTTCGAAGAAAAATTTAGTTCGCGTACTGAATCTCGCCCATCGCAGCACACTGATCTCTATTGGGACGGTCGACGATCGACGGTATGCTCTCGTTGCGTTTTCAAGAGTGTTGATATTTTCACTCACTGAAGCACGGCTTGTGCAAACGGGGAAAACACTTGAATCAGCCCAGGTTCCGCTTGGTCCAATTAGGAACGGAAGTTACTTGGCCCAGTGGCCTCAGCTGTTTGCTTGTGCGTACCCAAACAAAGGAGCTTCCTTGAAGTTGGTTCAAGGAAATAAGCACAGTTTGTTTCGCCATCAGCTGAGCGACGAGCCCTCCCTCTGTCTCGGTGTGGGTAGTGAATGAGAAAAGAAGTTCGGCAACGGGCATCGACAGCGGGGAATGGAAGACGAGCTGGAAGATAAGATCCTCTATCAAACATTCTTCAAATCGCACATGAAGCTCCTGTCCAAGTTCGCAGTCGGCGTATCGCCACTCAACAGTTCGGTCGGTTACGTGTGGAAAGTGATGCGCGTCTACCTGCTTAAGCCGGAGGTTCTCATAGCCGGTTTGTTGATTTTCGTCTTTGTGCTCTATCTTCAAGCGAGCGAAGTATGGAGCCGAGGATTCATCGGGAAAATCAGCAACAGCTTTGGGTTCACCAAGGGACCCCGGTCCGGCAAGTTGGCCCTGCTGGCATCTGCGGCGGAGAAGCACAGCTGGGAGGACAAACGGGGTCACAGTGCGGTGTACGCCGTTCAGGGACGCCGGCCACGGATGGAAGATAGGTGAGTAAGATGTTTATTATATTATATTTTAAACTTGGACGTGTTGTTTGCGGGGAAAATTGTCAACAAAATCGTAGCTTCATTATCTGTTACTCGTTTTTAAATTACGATCTCTTCATTGATTTTTCTTTTGTCGGTGCGATAAGCTATTTTTAAAATTGGATAGCAGCATGCCTCTTGATCTCGGTGACGAAAGAATCGAGAACAATACGCTTGAATGATCCCAATAACTACTGCTTGATACGATACTTGATAAAGCTGCAATTAGTAGATTAGAAGTGTGTGCGCTGCAATGGCCATAAGCTTCCGCAATAGTTGGGTAACTCCCTTCTTGACTCGAGGGTAATAAACTTGGGTAAGAAGAAATCTCGAAAGAAGCTCACCACCAGGTGGTTCAAAGTACGAATGGGACAAGAAAGAGAAGAAATTGCCCACTCGCTTCAAGAAGACGTTCGTAGGTTTAAAATGTATGACGTAAATGTTATGTGTGCATGTATCATAAAAGAGGTTCCATTAGCCTCGTAAAAGGTGCTGTTTGAATATCGGTCATGTTCTGGACACCTCTTGGCATAGAGCAGCGCATTTTGTAGACTGTGTGTCAAGCTCACCGATCCGCCTGATGGGATACGTGGAGCACGATCTAAAAATCGAAGTTGTTTGACATACAATAAACCTACACTATAACATCAAAGTTTGCATTTTCAAGAGTTTCGATTCCGAGTATTTGATAACATTACTGATCTGGAGCCTGATAATCAGAATGACGCCATGAAAGGTTCATCTAAGCATAAAGCACATACTTTCTCTGTACAAATTTAATTTGCGTGATTCAGCCACTGATGTAGCATTTTTTTATCATTCCTCGTAGCGTATTTTACTATACCTGATACATGACCGGTCACAAATTTTGTAGAACTTCCTCATCTATCCACTAAAATGCTACATAATTTATTCATGGTCAACGGCCCATTAGCCTGAAAAACACTCCAAAAGATGATGCCAAGCATAAGATTTAACCATAATTTCGCTCCGTTTGGAACTGAATTCCATTTCAACCAGTAATATGATCTATTGTAGTAAAGACTTGCCCGTACTAGACTGCCCATAGGTGGTGAGAATTGGAAACACTAATTTGAATCCGATCGTGAAGCAAGACATATCGCTCCGATTTGATCGGAATGTTTTAAACAAAAAATGATGATATGCAAATTTTGAAGTAAATGTTTTGGTAGGGATTCCCGCGTTGCGTAATACTTTGAGATGAAACTGACAAAACTAGATAAACATTTCAATAGGTCCTATCTGCATTGATCGATTCTCTTATTCCTACACTTATTTCTTTACTCATCGCTGAGTTCCTGCACTTTTGGCGATTATGAGTGAACTAAGCTCAGATTTGGGTTGTTCTCATTCGCCGTGTATCAAATTCGTTCGAAGCATTTACCTTTGAGCGGCAGATGACGCGATTGTACCTGTCTCATACCGTTCGTATGAGAAAATGGAAGAGTTGCCAGTCTTCTTGATTTGTTGTCTTCGGTAATACGCAAATACCATGATTTTCATTGTTGTGAACCATGAATTTCGTTGTGATTTTATGGTAATGGACAAAAATGTGCAATATTTTGACAGAAAATATCATGGTTACAATGACAATGAAAATCATTGAATTTTTATTGGATTTTTTTACGGGAAAGAAAACGAAAAAAAGGTGTGGACCTCCCGCACCAAACGCTTTCAACTACAATTCAATAGCTGCGCAAATGTAAATCGTAAATTAACTTAACTGAGTTTCCAGTTAGCAATATTTGGGTTGATTTATAATTCTAGCGTTTAGAATCATAAGAGCCTAACTGAGATGATCGATTCTCATCATCGATTTTCTCTTCGCATTACCACAGTCAAGTGAACCAATTTGCCGAAATTATTCCAATACAGTCTAATAGAAGGTTGTAATAACTAGCAACAAGAACATCAAACTCACAGAGAAATGTTAATCCAGATGAGCTATTAACTGAAGAGAAGATCGATTAAGAGAATCGATCATGCTTATGATTCTGAACGCTAGAATAGGCGATTGGATTGTAAATGTAAACTAAGCGATTGTTCCAGTCTCTGGCGGTGAATAGTGGAACTTTCAAATGAGTGATGAGGGTGAAAATTTTCACCGTGAAGCATAGGAAGTAGAGCTTCTATCCCGGGATGTCCCGGGATGAAAATCCCGGGATTGTTACATTTCCCGGGATTCCCGAATCCCGGGAAATTAATTTTAAAATCCCGGGATCGCGTGTACCCCGGGATTTTTTAATTTGAGACTCTTTTACCACTTTAAATCTTTCTTGGAATATCTGTAGCAGAATTTGAATCCTGAACTTTCACATCTTATGAAATATATCTCTTCCTTCGTTTGCCATTCATTCTGATTTTTCAAAAGAATTGCACACAGACATCACTTTTTGTATTTGATCGTTGTACAAGAAGCACTCGTGAAAAATAGGATCGAGCAGTGAAACAAACCGTGAACATTTTGATTCAATCAGGTTGAGTGCCGTGAGATGTCCATCATTGATAGTTGATTGAAAACCATTGAAATGCATTGTTAAGATGGTTGAAAGTACGTAGTACTAGTCTCAACTGATGAAAAGACTCAGTATTTGCAGTTTTTAGAGTCCTTCCTTAGATTAGCGAGCGGAAGCTTGTAAAATGCTTACTCCTTCTGGACGAACTTCTATATATCTCCGACTTCTATCTTGGCTTCCATAGCTCTCCCTGGCTGTCATTCGTTACGTTGAAAGGTATGCATTATGGGCAAGATTGGCCCACATTTATATGGAGGAAATTTTTAACATTTTATTCAACGGGCCAACCCCTAGATTTGTGCCATTAGGTGAGAAAACCACTATTTGAAAATTTCAGCTCATTCGGATGCAACACGAGCTGGCGCTTTTGATTTAAAATTTATATGGGGATATTGGTTGAAATGTATGGAGAAATAACATTTCTTCACTCCCTCGTGCATAGCAGCATTTGGTTCAGCAAATTCGATTAAGCTCAGAATTTCAGCACAAGTAGCTTAAACTATAAGAAACAACTTTCCTGAAGACAGTATCATGATTCAAGTTAGTATTATCGATATATTCATTCTTGAATTTATATGTGCATTTTGTTCGTATATGTATGTATGTATGTATGTAAGGTAGCCACCATCCCTTCAAAGATTTTGTCTTGTATGCAGCTCCACTTAACAGCAAGATCAATTTGAGCTACCGATCTGAATTCACAATATCGCTGTATGAAGGGCCAAAAACGGAGGTGCGGACCTGTAAGCAGAGACACTTACGCGAAATCCACGGGAATTTAAGAATCTCCTTCCAACGATACGATCCAACAAATCGGATAACGCAATTCGCAATACTTATTAAGCTTTCTACAGGATGGTTTGTAAAGAAGGGCGCGTCAATCTCACTGAAACTGTTGGAGTAGAATTCACACCACCACAATCGAATCGGTAGGATACAGAAAATGATAGGGTTTATTCCCTCCTAGACTCCGGTTGTCATACCACTCCAATCGTCCAGTTCCAGGTCAAATGATACCCTGATGCTCCCTCCCAACCCAGTATTTATTTATGTAATGAAAATATATGTAATAGAGAAATGAAATATATCAGAACATTAAATATGAAATAATGAATATAAATTTATCTATATAGATGAAATAGTTGATATTCTGCAATGAAAATAATAATTATTTTACATATAATAAGATGCAGCTCTATGTTTCTTCAGCTCACAATATCAAGTGGATGTAACACTGAAATTTCAAGGTTATATTAAGCAAATATACATTTTATCTCTAATTACTAATAATGTAAGCATGTAAATGTAAAGTGTAAAGTGTGATGTATAACTAACATAAGTAACAATAAAATGGGATTACGAGAAAATAAAGGAAAGATCTCACCCGATATGTAGCAAAGGAATCCATGACATCACGATGATTTCGAAGAACTCCAATAGTTATGCTGGCGCTACTTCTTCAACCGGTGTTAAAAACAGCACTCTCGCCTTTCGGTTCTCACACAGCAGCGCAAACCCCATCAACCACGAAATACACTCTAGCTGCTCCAACTAGAGGGATCTCAGCAGAGAAAAAAAGGATTGCATCCACTTTCCATCACCAATCACTCGCGACACCAGCTCCTCATCGGCCGAATCAACTCGCGACCAACGCCGAAATCAGAACCAAAATCTCCAGCGACCGAAAACCCACGCGTCTAACAGCGGCCACGGCACACTTCGATTGCATTTCTGAAACACAACCTCAACGCACAAACACGACGATGACAACATTCGTCCGGAAGGCGGAACGCCAGCACGCACAAACAAAGGGAAGAAAAAAATGCACACACAGAAGCAGAACACGGCACGGCTGAACTGCTAACGTTGCAAGCCAAACGCGAACTGCGATGTGCATTTTGTTCGTATATTGCGACAAAATACAGGCAGCTTATAAAACGTATCAACTAGATTACAACTAAAAAATAAAAGTTTATATTTTCAACAGGCCAACATCCTGGCTCGGGTCAGTAGGTGAGATAACCACACTCTGAATGTTTCAGCTCTTTTTGACGTTACACGGACTGGCGCTTTTGGTTTAGTGTTCATATAGGAGATTTGGTTGAAATTTTCATATACAAAATGCTCATATACATTCAAAAGCGAATAGCTCAATAAAACTAACTGGATTAGTGATGCAATCTTCAGCAAGGTTGTTACTCATTGTTTAAACTACAAGTTTTGAAAATCTGAATCAAATTGAGAATAAGCAAACTTTTTTTATGATCGATAGAGTGTAGGAGAGTCATTTTTCCATGTATTTTAACCAAATTCCCCATACAAAATTCAAACTAAAAGCGCCAGCTAATCTTAAAACCAAATGTGCTGAAACTTTCCGATAATGGTTTTCTCACCCAAAGGCACAAATATAGAGGTTGGCCCTTG